AATAGGAAACGGGAACAGCTTTATATACATGGTTGACACAAGATAACCCAGGATACAAAATGGAAAGATAAAATCTTAAATATACCGGTACATCAAAAATAAAATATGAGTGAAACTGTTCATCCTAATGTCAACATGGTTTTACTTAACCAGTTATGTAGCATGAAGGGAGGATATTCACAACTGAAATCATTTCACATGGATAGGTTTGTAACTCAAGGAATAGTATACAATGTTTTTACTGACTGGTGCAGGGCTATTCTGGAAGTCCATCATGTGAGGGCACATGGAATCTGGACTTGAGTAGAAAAGTGGTAACATTCCGCTTTGTCTCACTAGCTGGTAAACTAAAGAAATACAAAGAAACAAATTCGTGCTTGTTTCACAGCCTCTTGGCAGGGGTAGGGGTGAGGGGCTGTGCTGTGATTATTTCCAGAAGTGGATTTCCATTTAATAAATGTAAGCAGCTTTTGCGTCCACTGTGCTGTCGCACTCACTACTGGAGTCATCAAGATACCCTAAGCTATGTCTACCGAGACACAGAAGAACACAAAATCTTCAAGGTAGAAACAATATGTGGTTGATCAGCAATGCTCTTTAAAAGCAGAGTAAGAAATAAAGAAATGCGATTTTAAGCAAATTTTTGATGGTTATGGCAAGCTATCTTAGTAGTCAAATGACAAGATGATTTGCTTTTAGCACACGGAATTGCATATAGATATGAACTCAGAGAGGCTTCTCCGAAGTGTTCAAGCTTCATTTGTGACCCTGAAAGATTTTCCTATGCAATTTCTGCAAGCACAGAACATCTCTGTCTGTGCTTTATGGTTAAGGTGATGGCTAGAATGATCGTCACAGACCAAGCTACACCATGCTGGGAGGCTAGAGAGGACACCACACCATGCACTATGAGGCAGCTGGAAGATTTCAGATTTAGGCGGAAGATATTCCTTAAAAGGGACATGACAGCTATATTCATATATTTGAGGGAATTTCACGGGGAAGAATTAGACTCAATCCCAACTGGCCAGTCCTATACGCTGCCCATAACAGGCATCTCTAATAAGTCACTGTGCTCTTTCCTGATGAGACTGAAAACATCCAGCCAGCTATTACTAATCAGAATTTTCTCAAGAGATGAAACCTATTTGTCACCTCAGAAATATGTACAATTTCTGAGGTGAGCTTCAGGTAGAATAAACTCAAATGTCCTAGAGGCAGATTTTAGACTCATGTAAATAAATTTCTAAGTTTTAAATGTGTTCAGAGTAGTATGTTCTCCCTAAAAGTCTCTGGGAAGTATTCGGGGACACCCTGAGAAAGTGCTCTAGAAGGGATTCAGATAAGAAGGTGTGGAACTTTAAGGCCACTTAGACAACTTGCAACTCCATGGCTGAGAACACAAGTGTGGGCCCAAATATAAAGAACCTAAAAATAAAAGTAAAAAACGGAACCCATTGTAAATACGATTAAAATCTGACAACCATTTAAGTAGAATTAGCTTTCATTTCCTGCCTCTTTAAACCCAGTAAGAGAGAACATCTACCTAAACCTCTCTATCATCTGTCCATCCATCCATCCATCCATCCATCCATCCATCATCTATTACTGACTTAGAGCTACTACATATGTGTGTATATACATACACCTATATAATCTGAAGATTATATTTTTATCTTATCATAAAAGGTAATTCTGGAAGAATTTGTGGGGTTGAAATATTTTAAACTCTAACAGTATAATGGTTATTTTATATCTGAAGAGAATGGTAATAGGCCAAATAACTTAAATATACATTATTTTTCAATATCTGTACTTTAAACTAGTAACAGGGAAATTATGGGTATTTTTCTTTTTCTATCTTATTCCATCAGCAACCATGACAGCATTTATTAATCTTTGAGTTTCTTCCCCGCCATTTATTAATGATTAACATCTTGTTCAATGTCACAGGTTTGAGCAGCATGTGGCAAACATTTGTGAGATTTCTTTTTCCCCGACAGTGAACATCAAAGCCAACAGAAAATCATTACAGGAGGAGCAAGGGAGGACTTTAAACAACGAATGGATCTAGGAGGAAACTCTATATACAATGTGTGTGTGTGTGTGTGTGTGTGCGCATGCACTTGCATGCCAAAAAAATGACAGTGAGTTTTTACTGAAGAAATAGGGAGGACAAAGCTTGTGGGACATTGAGAAGTGAGTCTTGGCCCACTTGAGCACATTTCTCTTTTACCAGTCAGTAAGTGGCGGGTGATATTTGCTACTCCTTTGATATGATCATATGCTGCCTAACAAGTGATATTTGGTTTTATGCATGAAATGTTCGATTTCCTTTGTACTACAAAGTCAGGGATGTTCATAAAGATTTCTCTTTCCATCTTTTGCTGTTTCTGCCTCTAATTCCCTACAGACAGCCCCAAATTTTGCTGGTCACTCTTCCTTCTTTCTTCAAACTGAAAACAGAGCTTGTATTTGATGGTTTGGATGTGATGGGTAGGAAAAAAAAATTATGTGGGAATTGTTTTTCTTTATACAAAGATGCTAGGTATATTGGAATGGAGAGATAATACAGGCACGTGTAATATAGGCCATGCCAGATAGAGCATGGCTTTAATGTCATCCCCTGCGACCCTATCCTTCTCAATGGCACAGATTCATGAAATCATTCACATCAAATGTACCCAGAATCTGAAGTATTTCTCAGTCCTCGAAAATAATCTAACAGAAGTAGAAAGGTATTTCTTTGTGTGTCATGACCAGGTCTTTCTGCTACTTTAACATCACATTCAGTGTTAGTTGTCATGCTGGTTCCTGACAAATGATGTTGCTGGTGGCTCTACAGGTTGACAACATTATGGAAAACTGTATGAACCATAACTCAACCTGTGAGCTACCAGAAATTTGATCCGCTTTGTATATTCACTATAAGCAGAAATATATACAAGGTTATTACTAATCTCATGTAATAAAACTAGAGGGTACACATACTGGGACCTAATGTTCCTGGAGGCTGATAAGAAAAAGATCTTTTAAGTAAATCATGTTGGAGAGGGAGGGGAAAGGTGCCTGTTTTGGCACGGCTTCTGACAATACATATTTTTCTCTCCTCCTTAGAACTAAAGGCTCTCCACTTTCATGACTTAAGTACCCTCTTTTAGATCACTAGAATACTTTTACTAAAAGCTGAATTTCCCTGTAACAAGATTAAAATATTTGGGCCATAACTTTATGTCAAATGCTAGAATTAACTCTTTGAGGCTGTCTTAAGAAAGTTCAAATTCCTTAGCATGTCACTGAATAGGCCTCTTAATCTGATTCATGTCATTTTCCATGTCATTTGTATTAAACTATAAGACATCTTCCAGACAAGCCATGCTTTCTTATAGCTCCAACACTTTGCACATACTTTTGTTTCTTTCTGGGATTCCATGCCTGTTTTGTCTGCTGGTCAGTTTGTTTGTTTGTTTCTTTCTTTCTTTCTTCCTTCCTTCCTTCCTTCCTTCCTCCCTCTCTCTCTCTTCCTTCCTCCTTCCCTTCCTTCCCCTTCCCTCCCCTCCCCTTCCCTTCCCTTTTTTTTTTTTTTTGCTGGTCAGGTTCTAATCATCCTTTTAGAGACTCTTCTCTCCCAAATAATGTAAGTATTGCTTCCTGTAAACGGAGTTCCACAGGAGACTTAATTGCCTAGTGTTGGAAGGCAAGAACCACACCTCATTCACCTTTGTGTTACCAAAATTTTGTTCTTCCCTTCTTTAGTCCATTCTGGAATCTGGTTTGCTCACATGAGCCGTTGGCAGGGACACAAACACACACAAATGATCAATAGCATTTTTCCAGCCAATACATATTTGTGTTCCACGTACTATGCATGGAGAATACAGTAGTGAACAGGACAAACAGAGTCACTGGTCTCTAGGGATACTGTCTCTAATTTTCCTCTTGATTTCTAATTTAGAACCATTATACTTTATTCTTCCCTCGTTCTCAGGCCCATTTCCAAGACACATCTCCTAAGTCCTGCTTTACATTGTCCTTGCTTTGCGGATCCATTTGGGTAAGGCCAGCTTCTAGCCTTGTAGCCTGAAACTCTTTTAAACATGATTTTTTCTCTCTGCCAGCATGGGACTACAGATACGGGCAAAATGTACTCCCAACTTCTGCCCTTTGGGACCTGTGTTGATTGGGTCAGCCCCATTCAGCTATCCTTTCAAAGAGTCTGCAAGATGGTAAATGGTGATTCAATGTTCATTGAATGATGGGAAAATACGGAAATATATTCAAAGAAATAATATTATTTGAAATAGTAGTACAATTAGGATAAAGTATTGAATTTTATGGAAATTTGCATATGATCATCTAATGGAGCTATGATGGGCTTCATAATGACTTAGTGAAACTTTATCATTGTCATTTATTCTCATTTATTGTTTAAATGTGCCAACGATTCTATTTTAGCTTGCGGCAGGAAAGATGATTATTTCTTTTTCTAATTCTGGCTAACGTATAAGAGGTTATGAAAGATATGCAAAGGTACAGGGACATTTAATCCCCCAAATTTATTCACTGATTTAACAAACCTTAAATTCAGAATAATTGAATTGAAATGTCAAATTAAAAATGAAATGTCAGAGGACTTCTGCAGTAAGCCTTCCTGTACCAGATTATTTTCCACACATGAATCTCAAAAGAGAGCCAATTTAGCTTAAAAAAGAACTTCACCTTTTAATGGGAGTTGAAGTTAAATGACTAAACCTTTGTAATTTATATTGAGGGAAATAAAGTTTTTGAAAGTCCATTTCACTAATTCTATGCAACGTGTTTGGAAACTGTAGCAAAGTACATTATTCTCAGAATAAGGATTAGACACGGTCAATAAAAATTCTTCCAGATTAGATAGATCCAAATACAATTTTTGGTACTTTCCAGATCATGTTTTTCCATTTGTATTTTTGGTAGTTTTATGGTTTTATTAACACAAATATGATGGGTACACAAGCAGTCTATTCATTTTCTTCGCTGCGCAGCCTGGCATTGGGTTTGATGATTCTGACGGCCAGCTGGGCTGCTCGTTCCACAATGGCTTTGCGGTTCTCGGAGGAGCCATTATAAGCAATCTCCGTACAGTAAGGTTTGCTGCACATCAGCAGCACTTCAAGTTCCTTGACGTTGTGGACTAGGAACTTCTGGAAGCTACTGGGCAGCGTGTGCTTTGTTTTCTTGTTGCTCCCGTAACCAATGTTGGGCATTGAGATCTGGGTCTTGAATTTTCTGTGCACCCTACTGTCAATGCCTCTGGGTTCCACCCAGGGGTGCTTAATTTTGACATATCCATATATTGTTTTGTTCAGTTCTAACTATGACCCTATGAAACAGGAAGATACTACTAATTCCATTTTATAAATAATACTCAGATAAATTAGTGACTTGCCAAATTAATGAAGCCCCAAATTGATGGACTTGGAATTTGAAGTCACATGCCTTTATACACTATCCATTCTTAAGCTGTTATTGATGGTGCCTTATGGATATTAAGTCTCTTCTAGACAAAAAGAAAATACCCAAAAGACTTCATCGTCCTGTACATCATTGTAACTTTTATTCAGGTAGCATGTCTGGCACCTCCTGTGGTCAAGCAAAGGTGTAGGCAGTAGGTTAGGGAGATGAATAAACATGGCCCTTCTCCCTAGGCCCTTATAGTCTAAGAGAACAAAATATTTTTAATAATACGGATAGTGTTATCTAGTTAGACAAGAGAGTTTAAATAGAAACCTTTTATGTGACATAAAAGGCACAGACTCATGATAGTGCCATGGAGGGTAAACTGATAAAGGCCAGAGAAATGAGAAAATACAGGCATATTCTCTAAACCATTCTTTTCATCTTTTACAAATTTGACATATTTAATATTTTTTAAATTAAAGAACAAATAAAAGAAACTCAACGGATATTTCTCTGGATATTTCTCCAAATAACATTTGGAACTCTGGGATTAATGATGGTATCATTTAATACATGTTTTCATAAATGATAATGATAAACATAGCCTTTTCAGATGTAGCAAACCTTCAAGTATCACAACATCCTTAAAGGTCCCATTCCCATGGTAAACCTTAAAGCCTGTGAAAGGCAGAAAAACTATATTCAAATGAAATAGAATGTGTTGAAGCTCACAAGACAGTAGACTTGGAATGGTGTGTTAGGTGGTCAAGGGATAATGATAAATGTAGTAAAGGCTTTATCCGGGGGAAGCTAGGCTTCCATCCTACTTCAAAAACAAATTTGCCATAAAAGTCATCTGTGTTATAACTCCAAAGATCTACATGGTACATTCTGTATAGAATTTTATAATAGGCATATGACTATAAAGCAATTTAATTGCAGCAAACCTGAAAGTGTCCATTGAGGCTATATATCCTGGGATTAAAAAAACACACACACAGAATCCTATGTGTCAAACAGGCACCTCCAAACTAACATGTCCGAAATGAAATTCTTGATTTCCACTTCACATGCACGTCCAATCCTGATCCTCCTTGGTCACTTACTCAGACCCAAACCTTCCAATCATCTGGAACAGCTCTCCCCCTCACGCATCCCATCTGTCAGCAAATCCTGTTTGTCCCATCACTGAAATACGTTCGGAGACTATCCACATCTACCACCTCTACTTTAGTCCTGGGCACCATTATCTCCTTCCTGGACTGTTGCTTCTTTGTGGGTCTTCCAGCTTCTAATACTGCCTCCCCAACTGTCTACTCTCTAAATACCAGTCAGAGTGGCTCTACCAATATGTGAACCAGTTCATGCGTCTCTTCTTCTCAAATCCTTCAGTGTCTCCCTATCTCACTCAGAAAACCAAAGTACTTGACCAAGACCTGCTCTAGGCCTAGGATCTACTCCTTAGTTCCCTCTGATCTCATCCCTGCTCCTCGGTCTCATCGTCTCTCATTCGCTTTCCTCTGGTCTCAGTATCCTCCTTGATGTTCCCCCAGCCTCTGGGCCTTTGTGTTTCTTATTGCCTTTGTCTAGCATCATTTATCCCAGAGACTAATAAACAGTAGCTAAGATCAGGGGCAGGTCCAGGGTATACATGGCCGGAGGCTTATACAATTTGGGGGATCTATTTAAAAAAAGAATATGACACTTTGTATACAAAATTCAATAGAGGGCCTCAGAAAGGTCCATATATATGAGGGACTGAACTTTTAGCTTCATCATCCTCATAATAAATCCACCTCTTATATGACACTATATGCCATGCACTGCTCTAAATGCTGTAATATACTACCTGATTTATTTTTTTTAAAGATTACATTTATTTATTTGAGAGAGAGAAAGAGAGAGAGAGCACAGAGGGAGAGAGAGGGAGAGGGAGAAGCAGACTCCCTGCTGAGCAGAGAGCCCAACGTGAGACTCGATCCCAGGACCCTGAGATCACGACCTGAGCCAAAGGCAGATGCTTATCCGACTGAGCCACCCAGGCGCCCCTAATACACTACCTAATTTAACTGTCATAATAATACTTTGGGGGAGATGTTATTATCCCCATTTTATAGACTGGGAGTCCGAGGCACAGAATGGTTAAGTAATTTGTCCCATGTCAGATAAGTAGAAGAGTGCCAGTTGCAAGTTTTGAACTCTGGCCTGACTCCGTGCTTTTTACCACAAAGAGCATTTGAATCTGCATTTCCTGCTATCTCACTGCCTCCAAAGCCCTGATTGAACATCACCTCTTCACAGAGGCCTTCTCTGGCCACTTTACCCTTCCCTATTGTCCCCTAAGCTATGTACCCTCTCTTGGTTTTGTTCATAGCATATACCACCACCTGATATGTTAGATGCTTATTTATTTTCTACTGTCTACCTTCTCCCATTTGAATGTAAACTCTACTTTGTCTCTCTTGTTAAGAGACAGATTTGACAATGTCTACAAGAGTGCCCGGCACTTAGCAGGTTCCCAATAAAATTTCGTGGAATAAATTCTTCCTTTGTATCCAGTGTCTAAAGTACAGCTCAATGACTAGGAGTATAAAAAATGAATTACACACAACAGACAATGTTTACTAGGAGTAAGCAGTACATTTTAGATCAGTGGTCTCAAAGTGTGGCCATGGACAGGCAGCATCAGCACCTCTTGAGAGCTTGTTACAAGGACCAAGGTGGCCAAGGAATCCACATTGGAGGAAAAAGGGCCTCAAGTTACCTGTCTGACTAATGTTGATAGTGCTCAGAAACACACTTCTTTATCACACTGTAGAACTGGGAAATACTTTCTGCCAACAAAACTGACAGCTGTAATTTTAGCTGAGAAACCTCTTTTCAAAGTGAACCGAACAGAGATCTAGAGACAGAATGTGATTGTCTTTTGTGGACGGGATCGGACTCCAGTATTTTTTTCCTAATATGTTTTTATTTACCCCTTTATTGTATGGATCTCCACCTACTTCCTGGTAGCTTTAAAAAGACTTTCTATGTCCCGGTGATTGTGTTTGGCTCATTTTTGTATCTATTTTTCTCTCCCCCAGTCCCTCATTTCCTCCTATTAAGAACACAGCTGGTAATGTGGCCCCACCTTGTAGGAAAGATGAATTCTAAAACAGGATGGAAAATCACAGGTGATTCAAATATCCTTTCCAGGTCATGCACTTAACCCTCTCATTTAATTTCCCCTTCACTGAGACACTTCCTTTTTTAAGACTGCAAACATAACCTGCACCTGTAATTACTTGTATAGAAATTAGTCTTGTGCTTTCCTCGGTCGGAACAAAGAAGTATTCAAATGTTTAGCTGACTAAATGCCAGCCTTTGTAGACATGGCTTTGAATTGGATGGGAACCCAAGTGTAATTAAGTGCAGAAAAGGTACTACCCTTGGAAGTGATTTGTCTTCGGAAATATCTCAGCACATAGTATAAATTAGGTCATTTAACTTACAATACAACAGCTCAGGATTGACAGTGTAAAACTGCACTCCTCAATGTGGGAATGAGGCCACTAAGGCTCTAGTTGGGTATGCCGTTACTCGGACTTTCCAGAAACATTTCCTGGTCTTCCACACCGCTTGGCTTTATTCATCAGTAGAATGAAACAATTAATAGCACCTATTTAAAGTCAGGACCCTGACCTCTAACACAAGTAAAGAGTGAGGGCTTAAGTTCTGGCCACTCAAAGTAGGATCCCTGGCACCCCCGCCTCAGAACCACTTAGTGGGGCTCATCAAAATGCAGAGTCTCAGGCTTCCCACACTATGGGATCAGAATCTCCAAGGAGTGTAGGAGCAGGAACACATATTTGAAAGAATCGTGTCTGGTGATACTTATGCACTTTAAAGTTTAAGAACCAGTGGGAGGAATAACGACAACGGGCGCCCAGGGAAGTGAGGAAGAGAAGGAAGGCCCGGTGCACATACGCACACCTACACAACAAATTTTGCTGACATGAGAAGTTCAAGTGCAACTAGCGATCACAATGGAAGAAATACTGGCTGCACTTCAGAGCAAGTGCTCTTCGGAGAAAAACGCCAACACACACAGGGAGCTTAAATGACAACGAATGAAGTCAAGTTCCCCAATTTTTAAATCTCAAATTTTATGTTAAGGCTTTGGAGACACAATGTTTCCATTGTTACTTGATATTAAATTCTACTGTGGAAATACATTTTCTAGGAAGCTGGAATGTACTTTTAAGACTTGGACCTTTAAAAAAGTGATGATTTCAGAGAAAGTCTTATTTGCCTCTCCAATTTCAATTTTCACTCTTTCAGGCACTGGTGCGGGCTCTGAAGCGAAAATAAGGTATACGGTTTCGGTTTCCCCAAAGTGAATATTCTAGCTTCCTTTAACAGAAATTGCAAGAGACAGCTTAAACTTTTTGCGATAACCATCATTGTTCTGAATATTATTTGCCAAAGTACACTACCAGCGTCAGAATTTATTCAGGTGTTGTTGCTGTGCCTACAAGAATGGCCTATACTTTTTGAGCTTGTTGTCACCTTCTGATGAGCTTTCTCTAATCCCATATGTTACAGAAATCAATATAATATGTTTCATTTAATTGTGTTTAAAAGTTTAAATAGATTCTCAGTGAGGGCCCAGGATGGTCTCCAGTGGAGACTAGCAAAAGTTCAGATTTACAACTGTATTCCAGTGTTCTGCATATTTTAGGAAGCCTAATATCCTAAAGAAGTGAGAGAGTGAGGTAGCTTCACATAAAAGTTGCTATTTTAGAGTAACAGTGATTGCTGCAAACTTGAAACTTCTTGAAATCTCGTATAACACTTTGAAGCATTTTGGAGTAATAGTCTCAGACACAGGGACACCATTTGGTTACTCAGGCTATTATTACCTTCCATGTGAACATCAATCTTTCAGGGGATTTCCCAATTTTCATCTCCCATTGCGACAACCCATCCTGTACATTGCAGCTAGATTAATCTTCTTGAAGGATGTTTCAATCTTACTATGATTATGCTCAGAAGCCTCCAGTGACTCCCAAAGTTCAAACTTTCCAGCCTGCATTTGAGAACATCCACAACCTTCCTGAGTTTGTTTCCTTTACACATAGACTATGTCCGCTCAAATTGGTCTATAGTTCATTCTTCAGATACGGATACTTTATTCTTTTCTGAGGCTGTGCCTTTGGCCACACCACCTCCTATCACCATATCCACCTATCAAAAGGTGGGTCACCAAGTCATAATATCTGCCTCTCCATGGAACTTCTGGTTCCTTCCACCAGAAGTTCTTCTGAGCTCTATAGGTATCAGAACTGTTCTTCTCCTGTAGTACAACATTGTTATTATCTGCATGTGTAATTCCCCAAAGTCAAGGACCTTGTCTTCATTCTTTCAACAAATATTTACAGAACACCAATAGCTTTTAAAGCAATGTTTTAGACATTATGGAGGCTGCCAAGTTGAATAAAATCCAATCTTTGCCTTCCCACTGTCTGATACAATGACAAGTATGTTGTCGGTGCTGAAAAAATATATGTGGAATACATAAGGGAGTGGCCCATCTCACTTACGATAACATAAATTCTGGTTTATAACATGATAAATTAAATTAATAGGAAATTCTATTCAGAAAGAAGACTTTACCAAATTAACTTTTAGAATATCTAAATGTTACATATGCAGATATAAAAATGAAAACAAAATAGTTTAAACCCAAAGACAAAAGAAATTTGAAAACTTTTAGTCTACTGTATATAAGTTGCAGATATATATTGTTTTAATGTTAATAATTTAATGGTCTCCTTCTATGAATCACATCTGGTAAACCTCCACTGTCAATTAGTTCTATTAGTTCTTTGATATTAAAATATTCACATGCTTGCTATATGCAATACTTTCCTGTAAATATTTATCACACATGTTTTAATCTGAATTTTTTAGAGGCACTTATAATTAAATGTATTTTTTTGACAATCAGGTGCACATGATTTCAAATAAATTCATTTAGAAGTAGAACACTAGATTAAGTACCCAGATTGTTATTCTAAATGATGCCAAATATAAGACCATACATGTAAGAAAATTGAAATGCTATATTGTATTTTCAGGCTTCCAGGTGAGTGACTACAAGCCAGGAGTTAGGAGGTAACTAAGGTAACTTCGTTTCACTTGGATACTTATATATTGCACACACACACTGCTGAAGATTGGATGGCATATTCACCAAGCACACAAAATAATTCAAATCAATGTCAACGTACTCTCTCCAGAAAATGAACTCCTGTCCAGAGCCATCCTACCTTTCACTATAATTCAAAAGAAAGCTGGAGCACTAAGAATAAAATGCTTAAGGGATAGGATTATGTTTGTTCTCGTATGGAAAAATGAGTGTCTTCAGATAACAAAACTTTCCCTTTTGAAATAGAAAGTCATTATTGCTGTGTGAAAAGAGTTACACACGTTTAAAAGTAATATTAATTTTCTCAAGAGATCTTGTCCTGGCCATTTGAATAGAAAAAGCCCGACTCGAGAATCTTTTTTTTCTTTTAAATTTTATTATGTTATGTTAGTCACCATACAATACATCATTAGTTTTTGATGTGGTGATCCACGATCCATTGTTTTCGTACAACACCCAGTGCTCCATGCAGTACGTGCCCTCCTTAATACCCATCACCGGGCTAACCAATCCCCCTCCCCCCTCCCTTCTAAAACCCTGCTTGTTTCTCAGAGTCCATAGTCTCTCATGGTTCATCTCTCCCTCCGATTCCCCCCACCATTTTTCCCTTCCTTCTCCTAGTGTCCTCCATGCTATTCCTTATGTTCTACAAATAAGTGAAACCATATGATAATTGACTTTCTCTGCTTGACTTATTTCACTTAGCATAATCTCCTCCAGTCCCATCCATGTTGGTGTAAAAGTAGGGTATTCATCCTTTCTGATGGCTGAGTAATATTCCATTGCACATATGGACCACATCTTCTTTATCCATTCATCTGTTGAAGGGCATCTCGGCTCTTTCCACAGTTTGGCTGTGGGGACATTGCTGCTATTAACATTGGGGTGCATATGGCTCTTCTTATCACTACATCTGTGCCTTTGGGGTAAATACCCAGGAGTGCAATTGCTGGGTCATAGGGTAGCTCTATTTTTAACTGTTTGGGGAACCTCCACACTGTTCTCCAAAGTGTCTGTACCAACTTGCATTCCCACCAACAGTGTAAGAGGGTTCCCCTTTCTCCACAACCTCTCCAACATTTGTTGTTTCTTTCC